TTCAATTAATTAATCATTCAATTACACAAGGCTCCGTACTCGGATTTATTTTATTTTTAATTTACATAAATGACCTGGCAAATCTATAAACCAAACGTGCGTAGGTACTATTCGCTGATGACATTTTTTATTATAATCTAGATTTAAACACCACCTTGAATCTTGCATTAGATTATATTGTAAATTGGCTAAATGACCATAACTTAGAAATAAACTTTACAAAAACAAAAAGTTCCATTAACTATATATAGACTTCACCTACAAGGACTACAATATATGTAGAAAGTGTTAACACTATCACGTCATTAGGGTTTGAGATATTTGCGAATATTAATTGGAAAGCTCATATAGAAAAGACAGCGCTGAAATTATCTAGATTTACATACGCACTTTGGGAACTTAAAAAGACCACAAACTAAAAAACGGCCATAACAGCATATTACGCTTACGCTTATGTTACTATATTATGGGGAAATAATGCGCAAGTAGGTTCACTATTAATCCTACAGAAAATATGTATAAGAATCATAAAACATAAAGAATACCGGTAGCCGTAAACCATATTTGAAGAGTTTAGAAATATTAACATTACCATCCATATACATTCTAAAAACTGCGAAAATATCCAAATTTTTACACAAAACCGGGCGACCTACCACGTCGCTTTCCCACAAGATACCAAAATCATGCCAACATCGAAAATGGAAATGTATAGATCAAATCCCCTAGCTATGTCAATTAAAATTTTCAATAAAATACCGGAAAACGTCAAATCAGAATAAAACACGTCACCATTTATAAATAAACTAAAATACTTACTAATACAAAAAACTTATTATACAATTGGTGAATATTTGAATGATAAGACAATAACTTCATAAATATTCATACAAATTCTCTATAAACATTTCCTTCATGACATGACATATATAGACTTTATGTTTTTATCATTGACTTACAAATAATTGTAAGTCAATGGTTTTTATACTTAATTATTGACATTTACTATTTTTCAACTGGTTATGACATACCTTAATTTTTTCTCGATCATGCATAAATAATTAATTAATATAATTAATTATCTAATTTTTGTCCTAATAACCTGTAGCATTTCGAGGATGAATCGAAAAAATGTGAAAATTAGAGGTCATTTCGTGATTTTCATCTATCGAGGAAACTTTATTGTTTTGTTTCTGATTAGTGTCTATGCTTGAATATATCGTGTAGTTACTCATACAATATTTTATTTTTAATTTTAAAGTGGATATACCCCTCTAAAATCAAATCGAAGAATAGGAATTTTTCCTCTGCTCCCTCTTAAAAATATTTGTTAGGACTATTTTTTTTTTTGTGTTAATAATTTATTTTCTTCAAGCATTATTTTGTCTAATTTTGACCATAAATTAATTAATTGAATTATAAAAAAATTGTATCACTTATTATGCTTCTTAATGTTAATTATTGAGATCTAAATTTTTATATTAGTTTTGATAAATTTCATAATAATTGAAAAATAAACCACTTTGCAATATTCAATGAAAAAACAATGTCCTAAACAACCACACGTAAGACCTGGCCTCAAACTAGAGTATATCCTGTACTATGTGATCAGAGTAACGGAACCAGAGAACCAATTTTGAAGTTTTGTTTTGGAGACCACCTCACCCAGCGCCCACAGTGCAAACCGTTGAGTCACCGGGGCGTCAATATTGGCAGAATATTAATTTCGGGATCCTAACTCCATTGTCACTTTATATCTTCAATTTAAGAGTTAGGGAAAATAGTAATTCTTTATTGTACAAATAAATGACATTAAAAATGACATGTTACAAAGGACATACACAAAGGTGAGTTTATCTCTAAAAGAGATCTCTTCCAGCCAACCCTAGCCGTATTAATAAAGTAAGTCTATGCGAGACATTATTTATTACAATAAATTTATTAAAAATTTAAATGCCCGAAATGGCCACTCACACACTCAACATCCGTACTAGGGAAACCCTGTGTCGCGGGTGCCATGTACACACACATAGACAACCACAAATTACACCCAAACTCACGAGAGAAATAATTGTAGTCCATACAAATATTTCACCCGGCCCGGGAATATAACCTGGGACCTCTGCGTGGCAGTCTGGCATGGTGACCGTTCGGCCATGGAGGCAGTTACGCCGCAAGTGTACGTACTTCGCGTGCCCAAAGTAGGTAATGCCCGCTCCACATTCTTGCCAAAACTTAACGAGAACAGCCAAATACGAGAGTGTACGACCATATTCGTTAAGTCTCGCCTATGTTCGTGTGGTCTCCACTTCGTGTCGGTATTTCGGACCCGAATCAACACGAGAGCCGTGTTGTTTTGTGTTTGCGCGAGAACCTTTCCTCCACATTCCCGTCACTGCAGTTCGCCGGCAATAACCGCAGTGTTCTGTTGCGATGTATTGATGTAATCCACCATCTGCGTCTATTACAATGTCTCTTAATAAGTTTTTTTTTCTCGAATTAACAAAATATTGTAATATGCTACAGCACATAATGCTGCAGCAACAGACGTATCTAACACATTCATCTTGTATGACGACCAAACGGACAACTGCGCGGGCGAGAATGTGGAGAGCCACTCTCGGTCTCGTGCTGTCCCGGCGAGACCCGAGACCGGGATGTCTCGACGAGAATGTAGAGTGCACTTAAGTGAAATTCACCTATTTGTCGCTGCTGCACTTCAGAACGCGCTGGACCGTGATCGTAGATAAACACCAGTCGAAAAATGCATAATTGTGTTATTATAAACTGCACAAGCACTATAACTGTGGGTAAACAGATAAACAGGGACGTTTCCTTCCACGGGCAAGTGATTTTGTAATCAGAAGATGCATAATTTATTTTAAAAACAATTATTTTGGTTTTGTATGAATTTCGAGAAAACAAATATGCAACCGGTATACCTCATGATTTGTAATACATTGCGGCATTTACTTGGTACGATATATTTGTGATCCTTTGTTAATCCGCCATGAATACCGAACGAACGCATTTTTGTATAATGCATTCAGTTTCATGGTACGGCGTCGTTGGTGATATCTTTTTCCGTTGCAATGGAGGCGATTTTCGAACAAAAATGTGTAGTCTAATGTGCTGTTGTCCGTAGATTTTTTTGGCCAAATTTAACATTTAGTGATGCATACGTTAGGCAACACTGCTCTCGATTCTGATCGATTTTGAAAACAAGGCACAAAAATTATTATGACCTTAGCAATATTATAAAAATATTCTATAACTCTTTTGATATAATATTTAGTAACGTTTCGTTTTTTTTTTTTCATTTTTGTAGTATCTATTATCAGTAGTATTTGTAATTTTAAGCAAAGAATTAACAATGTTCTGTCTTTACAAAAACCTCGAGTTGGTCATACGTATGAGTTCATTGCTTTCGAGGACAAAGGTGGTCTAGTTTATCCCACCTGAGATGCTATCCAAAAATGCAAAGTAGCAGAGTTAGAAATCCGAGAAATAATATACAAATCACAAAAATTTCACACAAGGCCGTCATTAAGTAAACCTCTTCTGTTTAATAAGATTTTACCATATTTTGTCAGCAGTAACTTTTTCATTTGTCTTGCCATTCATCAATTTGATCAATTATCAACAGAAAACCATCTAGTAAAATTAATTAAGGCAGTCGCAACTTCATATATATTCAACAACGCCCTCAGGGATTGTTGGGGCTGCCTCGATACTGTAATGCCTCGAGAATGTTCGCGGAGGCTAAAATTGATAGTTTTCAGGCAGTCGTTCGCAAGAGAGTGGCATCCCTGTTGGCCAGAATGAGAGGCAGCACCAACAGACTTCCTAAGGTGGTAGGCACAAAGTACTTTGTATATATATGAAAGTGGTAGGTAGCAGAGAGGATGGACAGCCCAATCATTAAGTATTGGATATCCATCCTTATTCATGAAAATGAATACTTTGCTGTCTACTAACATAGTTGTAAGCTTGTAAGTACCTACTAACACCATATGAACTTGTAACTGTCTGAAATAAATTGTTTCATTTAATTTTATTTCATTTCATCGACGTGCTTTTCATTATTTAAATTAATCGATAAGATCTTCTGTTACAAAAAGATGGACATTATTTTTAAAATTGACACTACTTGTAATCAACAAATACTTGAACAAAAATTATTCTATTTAGAATCGATTAATTGGATGGAATACGCGTATTTACGCGGTTGGAACCCATTGATTATAACTACACAATTTAACTTAATTGAAAATTATTGTTTGGTCTGATATTTAAATAAAAATACACATTTCAGAGCCAAAGAAATAAAGAACCAACTTCTGGTTTTTTTTATATACGTATTAATTGAGCATAACACTTTTTAACATTGCAACTAGTGCTGCCATCTATGCATTGCTATGTACATCAAGTGCACAACAAAAGTACACAAGTCATCTTAAAGGATGGAAAAAGAACACATATTATGATAGTGTTCTGTGCATATGATGTGCACTGATCACCGACAACGTCTGTCATTGATGTTGTATGTATTGAAGTAAGGATGAATATTTATAAAAAAAATAAAATTCTAGTAAATTTACTAACCCTAATGATAAGTAAATTAAACATCGGACAATAAAAAGTATGAGTCAATAATAAGTTTGTGCTTCGAAATAAACGCTTCAAATTATCTCGAACCTAGCGTCGAACGTAACGCAAACCAAACATAAACAAAGGACATTTCGCGAAAGTGTGACGTTAATTTGAAATTCAACAAAAATAGACTTGTTTGAATGAATTTAACTTTAAAAATGTGATTGTGGGAGCGATTTTCAAATCATCGTTACTTGGAATACACACTCGTGTTTACGTACTAAATGAAATATTAAAATTAATTCTTTATTAACATTATAACGTAACAGGAAACTACACAGGAAATGGTCTCACTTTTTACAAGTCGACCGCCTATGACTAATAATTATTATCTAAGTTGCGAAACCATGGGTTCCACTAAGGAGTTGTTCAAATTATACGATTTAATTCAATGTGGTGACGTAAGGTATGTACCAATAATAATTGTTTAATATTGTTCTTGAATGTAAGCATTTATACATAAATCACAAAATTTATCGACTACATACACTATAATGATTAAATTTAAATCAATTTCTTTCAAATTCTTCATAGAAATGCATTTATTAATTTATCAAATACCATACAAGTTTGTCTAAATAGAAAAATATATTTCCTTTTTGTATTATTCATTTGCAACTGGTATAAGAGTGAATAGATCAGCTGCATGTAATTGTAAGTCAGTGGCTGCATATTACTTATTTGTATTGTTTTTTTTTTCAGATCTGTGGAAAGTTTTTTAACACAGACTCAAGTTGATCTAAATGAAATATTGCTTTGCAAAGGCATTGGAGTTCTCCACTTAGCAGTCGGTATAGACCCTATACAGAAGTCTAGGGAATGCACAGAATTATTGTTAAAACATGGGGCTGTTCCCAACTTATGGTATGAAGACATTTACTTTAAATTTTTGAAATTTTTATCATTTCTGCAAAAGTATTGCACAACTTTTGCAACAAGATCTTGTTCTCAAGTTCTTAGGTTTTTGTGATTGCTACACATCTGAAATAAAACCTTTTGAATCTAAATAAATTTCATAAATACAATTTTTTTAAATGTAAGTAGTGTATACTGGTTTTTTCAAACAAACCGATGTATTCATTGACTTACAATTATATGGACGTCGGGTCCGCGCTAAAAAGTGTCCGCACTTGTAAGGCGCTAAAATCGTATACAGAGCGCGACACTCCGCTTTAGTCTTCATTTGTTCTACGGACAGCGCGATACTGCGATGACATAACAATTTAAATTTCGAATAGGTTGACTTGGGACATTTTTTTCGTGGTTTTTGTATTAGACCCGTCATCCATTTATTTGTAAGTCAATGGATGTGTTAGTTTATTTATAGGTCCCACAGCCTTGGCTGACTGAGAAGGTGAAGTCATCAACCAGTTATGTCTCATATTAATATAGTTTATTAGCAGTAGAGCTCCTTGTGAAAGACTTCATCCAGGGAAGTACTGCCACCTTACCTATTTCTGCTGCCAAGCAGTAATGTGAGCATTACTGCATTCCGGTTTTGAAGGGTAAGGATGCTGGTGAAATTAAAGGCACAATTGGATTTCTCAAATTATGTCTCAGGGCAATTGGTGCAGAGGCAGTGCCACCTCATATCTTTGCTATTTAAAGCTGTGAGTGGCACTACAACTGTTATGGATGGGCATGTCGTTTACCAACAGGTGCCCAACTTGTTCTTCCCATCACTTAATATTACAAAAAGAAAATTAAAATGGGATGATTTGCGTTAATATTAGACATAACTGGTTGATAACTTTAACACCTTGGTCAGCCATGACCATAAGGCCTGTAATGAAACTGAAATGTTGGTTTGTCAACAAATCCACCATTGAAGTGTAACAAAAAATTTGCTTCATTTCCAAGATTTGTATAATGAAATATTGTCTGAATACAAACTTGTAATTGAAAAAGTAACTAGTGAGGTAGAGGTAATTTAATCACAGAAAAATACATAAATTTATAATGAAATTATTAAGAAGTATTAATTTTTAATTAAAATATTATGTATGTTTTATATTGATTGTTTTTATTATTAATTTAAGAATGGTTATTTTTTATATTGTATAATAATGAAATGTACTGCATTTTTTATTAATGAATTGTATAGTAACATTTGAGACATGTATCGGCAATAGAGGCTAATATTAATATTATTATACATAACAAATAAATGGTTACTTATGACCCCTGTGAGCATATGGTTTGTACTGTGGGTGCTGGATGAGTTGAGCTGGGTCCTGTGTTCAATTCCTGGTAGGACCAATGAAGGGCAGTTAACTTTTATAATATAAGATAATAAAACACATTGAAAAATTTGTGAGGTCTGCTGATTCTTTGTATGGCTTAGTTGGTATAGCATCAGGCACGATATGCTAGAAGACATCGGTTCGAATCCAGCCAGATTGAAGGAATTTTTTCTGAGTGTTCAATCTTTGTATTAATAATTATGCAGAGTACTGGTCGGAGTGTCCTGGGTAGTGCTCCAGAGTCAATTCAAATGCTCTAGTACTCATACTACAGAAAATTCCCTAATTTGAGACCAAGGAATTGACATTATTGTCTGACGCTTATTATTTATGTTTGTCTTTCAGCAATGAAGACGGTATAACTCCAGTCCACATAGCAGCAATATGGGGCCGTCTGGACAATATCAAACTTCTTATTGGTTGCGGAGGAGATCCATTAAGATGTGACTTAGATGGGTTGACTGCATTTGATTACGCTGCTCGAGAACAACAATGGGATGTATTTGATTACTTCCACAATGTTGTAGACGAAAAGGACGATTCATTTGAATCTACTTGTGCATATTCTTTAGACTTAGGTAAGTTTTGGTAATTGTAGATGGACTTAAGCCTTTAACCTTTTAAATGTCCGCAACCACGATCCTTTAGTACTCCAGAGACGTTAGAAACTTCTTAATTTAATATTTACAGTACTGTTATAGTGCAAACAAACATGAGGTCAACAGACATGCACACAACTAGATTCTTTTTTGCCAAAACATTTGTACAGGCTAAAGTGAACAAACAAAGACTTGAAACCAAACTTGTGTGCACATCACAGTTAAGCTATGCTTAATATATACTTTTTTGTTTTGAAATCATATTTAGTTTTGTAATTTATGACAAATTACAAATGCCTGTGAATTATTGGGAACTTAGATATGCAAGAAATCTCAACATGTTTTCTATCAAGAGTTTTACTTGGTTAATTCCTCAAGGAGACAATAGCGCGTGTCCTACTTTAGTGTTCCGGCGTTTCCAACTACAATGTGTAACCCCTCAGAGAAAACAATTGTATCTTGTATTTTTTGTCAAAGATGTATTGTTTTGGGATCCTATCCACAACCGCCTCCAGTAGCGGTTCCTCTATGACTGTCTTATAAAGGATTTCTGTATGTGGGGTCCTCATGTGCTTCCAAAGGCCAGCTCTGTTTAGACGCACTGCTGTTGACGCCGCTTCCCGTCTGATGAACAGTGGGAGGGATCGAAGGTCCAGGATCGCTTCGAGGGCCGCAGTTGGAGTTGTCCTCATGCAGCCAGTCGTCGCCATGCAAGCGAGTTTTTGGAATTTGTCCAGCTTGTCGATTGCGGTCGTCAGTTTGTTTCGTGGCCACCATACTATCGCGCCGTAACTGATCATGGGTCTTATCACCGCTGTGTAGAGCCATAGTGTTATCTTGGGTGAAAGTCTCCATTGTTTACCTACCATTCTATGGCACTGCCAGAAGGTAATAGTAGCTTTTTGAATTTTGTTGTTCAGATGTTTGTTCCAGTTCAACTTGTCCAGTATTACTCCCAAGTACTTGACTTCGGTTGATATCTGTAGTTCTGTGCTGAAGAGTTTGGGTAATCGGTAGTTACCTGGTAGTCGTTTGTTTGTTTTGGGTTGGTGGGTTTACCGATAGTTTGTATGCTCTGCACCATCTTTCCACAATTCGGAGAGCAGCTTGTGTAATGTCGCAGAGTGTATTGGCATAATTTCCTGTTACCAGTATAGCTATGTCATCAGCATATCCTACTGTATAGAAATGTTCTTTGTTTAGTTTAATGATGAGGTCATTTACGACCATGTTCCGCAGCAGAGGCGACAATACCCCTCGTTGAGGGCACCCCTTCGCTACTATGGCCCATGGGATCTCATTTGCTGTTGTTTTTATTGTTCTTTGTTTCAGCATGTTGCTAATCCAGCTAATTAGCACTTCATCTACTTCGTGCCTTCTCATTGCTGATTATATGCTGGAGAAGTTGGTTTTATCGAAGGCTCCTTCAATATCTATAAAGGTTTTCTGAATATCTATAAACGTTTTCAAAAAATCTGCCTAGGCAGATTGCTTTGTCTTTAATGGCCACTTCTATCTTGCCCACAACGGCATGAAGAGCCGATTCAGTAGATTTGCCTTGGCTGTATGCATGTTGGTTTCCGTGTAATGGTATGTTCTTAAGCGCTCCATCCCTCAGTTCTCTGTCACATAACCTTTCTAATGTCTTTAAGACGAACGATGTGAGGCTGATTGGTCTGAAGGACTTCGCGTCATTGTAGTCGGGTTTTCCTGGTTTCTGTATAAATATGACTTTTACCTCTCGCCAGCTGTGGGGCACATAGCTGAATGCTAGACAGGCCCGAAAGATGTTGACCAGGTGCCTGGACCAGTGTGTCTCCGGCCTATTGTAGGAGTGCAGGGAATACTCCATCTTGGCCCGGAGCTTTGTACGGTTCAAAGGTGTTTACTGCCCATTTTGTCTTTTCGTATGTTACAACTTGTTCAGCGTATCGCCAGTTATGGATCGATGTGATGTAGTTCTTTTCTTCGCACCGTCGTCTTGGACGAACCTACATCCTGGGAAATGTACTTCCAGTAGGGTTCTTCCTGTTTCCGCAGGGGAAGTGTATGTGTTGTCTATTTTGCGTATTGAACCTAGCTCAGTTGAATTTGAGTTGCCTAGGATTTTCATTATTCTGTTTGCTTGTGTACAAGACCTCTCTCATTTGCGAGTTCCATGCCCCACAACGGATGGTGGGCATTGGAGTCAGTAGCCACGACGATATTCTGGCCGTTCTGCTCGCAGTAATTGATTAGCTGTACCATTTCCTGCGGTGGTGGCACATCAATCTCCGCCATATAGACAGAGGCGAGCACCACTTCAGGCAGACCCGTGGCCGCGTCAGCTAAAAGCTTTACTGCACACAGGTCTCTGGAACAGAATTCAGTTAGTGGCTGTACATGTAAGTTATTAGAGTAATATATGCAAGTTCTAGGTTTATCTGAGATGGTAGTCGATAGTAGCTTACCTCTCAGATGTGAGAGTCCATTTATTTGGCCACGGGCACTAATCTACGGTTCCTGGTTGAGCGCCATGGCTGTGTTGTTAGCGTCCAACCACTTCCGGAGCTGAACCGTTGCGGCTTGGTTGTGGTGGAGGTTGCTCTGGACGATGTGAAGTTTACTAAGCGAGGGGGAAGCCGCCATCAGGAGATAACAGCTACTCGTCCACGTCCTCGCTCAGTCGGATGTCTCCCATCCCCAACACGCACTCGTCATCACTGCTGGTCGCCACCGGTTTGACAGCGGCGTCCGCAGAGACGGGGGTCAAGGAGGGCCCTTCACCTTCTCCGGGGATATCGGAGGCGGTGGAGGACTCCGGGAACACGTCCATCCGCGTCGCTGTTGTGCCCGTCTTCTCAGGTGGCACATCGGTGTACAGGCCCCTCTTGGATCTGAACCTGAGGTAGACCGTGCCCCAGGTAGCCCCAGGACCGCGGGGACAAGTTCTTCTGGGAGGCTCACCACTACGAAGGAGTGTTCACTATGCTGCTGCAGCTTGTGAACAACCCAGCGGCGTGCATACGCCCACGGGTTTTGCCACTTGAGGATGCGGCCGATTCGACGCGCACCTCCCAATGACCAGGGATGAGTAGTTCGCAGACCACCCTCCGAGGAGCCTCCACCCCATTTTTCAATGAGAGGGGCTCCCCAGATGGCAGCCTGATGGTGCTAATGGCATCCTCTAGCCACTGCAAAGTGGCTGTGTCCTGACACCACAGTTTCAGGTACCCGTTACTGTAGACAGGTTTACCTCGAAACTAAGGGCTGACGTCCTCCTCGCTGCACTCCTCCGCTCCTTGCGCGAGGTGCTGACATAGGACCACCTGAACCATGTCGGCATCGGGGCTCCGTATGTAGCCAGTTTTGGCTGAAATCATTACCGCCATGAGTTCTGGCCTGTGGCCTCGGCGTAGGTTCGATGCTGGGCGGGCCTCTCAACCTTTTGCCGCTTGTGCTCGCCTCTAGGAGATATTGTCTTGTCAAGGCGGGCACGTTTGGCAATGGTCGAGGACCTCTGCATGCTCTCTGCCGGTTTGCTGTTAGAAGGGGTTTGACCGTGCTGATGCAGTCCCTGGGCCGCTTGCGCCACCCACTGGGGGCCTAGCCTCTCCCTCCTTCGGCAGGGGGTTGTTTACGATGCGACGCTCGCGTTCTCTACGACGGCCTTTCTTGCTTTTATTATTTACCTACGCTTGTGCACACTTCTCTAGGCCTCCGTTTATGGCCTGCCCATTTCCACTTTCTGCTAACACCTTCTCTATATCTATAGGATTCGTTCTTCTTCGGATCCCTGTGTTCCCGAATCGATCTATATATATAGATCGATTCGATAACTGCCTCTGTGGCCGAACGGTTACCACGCCGGACTGCCACGCAGAGGTCCCAGGTTCGATTCCCGGGCCGGGAGAAATATTTGTATGGCCTACATTTATTTCTCTCGTGAGTTTGGGTGTAATTTGTGGTTGTCTATGTGTGTCCATGGCACCCGCGACACAGGGTTTCCCTAGTGCGGGGCTATGTTGAGTGTATGCGTTATTATTATTATTATTATTATTATTATTATTATTATTATTATCTGGGAGAGATATATCGAACATTCCATAGCCCTCTGGGTGACCTGTAGCTTTTGCACTGTCAGTCTTGTTAACATCCACACCACCTCAAATAGACGTCGGAGCTTGTTCTAGGTATTTCCATTTATTATTAACATATTTTTTTCTTTTAATATTTCAGAAAGAATATTAGTGACTACAGATCAAATAGTCGCCGAATATGAACCACTACTTGAAAACCAAACAAATAGTACGATGAGAAAATCAGAAATGGTCAGACAATGGTGTGATAAGCACAATTTCGTTATGAACAAACTCTATCCCACAATTCTTAGTGATACATTCACTATAGAAAACAATCCAGATTGGAGAAGCATAAATATTACTAAAAATATCACACTTGATCTCACAGATGATGTAAATAAGACTATAAATGAGACGCATAATAACTCCTATAAGACTTGTCAAACAACAGTTACACCTGTAGAAATAAGTGGTATACAGAGGTTAGATATAACATCAGATGAAGATAAAAATGAGAATGTAAAACAACGGTTTAGCATATATGAGAACTTCTCTTTACCTGGTTCACCTAATAGTATAGCGCATAGGAATTATAACACAAAGTCTAGCTTGAAAAAGAAAAATTTGGCTGATAATTCGAAATCTATGTTCACTGAAGACTGTAGTGATGACTGTAGTCAAGATTTAGATAAAGCTCTTATAGTGGTTCAGAATAAGACAAATGAATGGTTGTCATCAAGCAGTAAGAGTGATTGCAAGACTGATATAGGAGTTTATAATACCAGGCGATCATCGGCAAGCAGTGGCGTTAGTAGTAATTTATCCGGAGGCAGTATTGTCATAGCCAATGTAGAAGAGCAATATAAATATGAAGACAAAGAGGAAAATGTAGTGCTAATTGAAAGGAGATTGCTTGTCTCTTCTGTTGTGTAAGTAATATATTCTTATATAAAGTCTATCTTAGCATGTAATAGTTATTAACATTTACAGTTACTAAATATAATATATAATAAGTTTACAGTTCTTAAATACTTATTAACATGTAAAAACGAACTAAACATATATAAACCAAACAATTCTTTAATTACTTGACATATATGTCGTATAGAAGGTAAAGTAATGGATTTTATACGTCTATTTCATTTACATTCGTGTATTGAGTTGATATATGTGAGCAACCCTCTAGCAATATAATTAGGCAGTCAACAATATGAGGTAAAGTGCAAAATGTAAAACCATTGTTATTGCAATTAAAATAAATGAGAAACTAAAGTAAACTGGTACTTTCTAGTGCAAAGTAAATTAAATATTAAAAAAAGAATTAATTTATTAACTTTTGAAATTTTGTTGGACTCTCCTTTTTTATAGCGCGTGAAGTCGGAAAGTTATTGAGTTTATCAAAAAGGTGTTACCAAATTTCAGTTCCCGATTATCTAATCTATAAACTTCAACTCGTGATAACAAATCATCAAGTATTTTATAGTCGATGTAACAAACAGTTTCAACAAAAACCACTTTAAACGAGTTAAGAAATGTCAGGTCGCCTTACTAAATATGTCGGCCGGATATTTGTAAGGGAATACAATTTTAATGCATTCACCATTTTATCTGTCTCTCACTGGGGTAGGCAGTGACTATGAACTTCCGTCGCCACTTTCCTACCAACCCACTTCGTCTCCTCCACTCGCATCGTTTAACTTGACTATTTTAATAGACAATCATAATCCGATCGACATTTGTATCATTTGTTCGAGTATACATGATTTGTTTGAGGTGTACCTCTCTCAGATACTTTAATAATATTCATATATACTAAGTGGAGTGTCGGCTCACTTCCGCAACGCAGCAGTCTTTATTTTCCTTTTTTTACAATTCTGTACTTCTGCACGCGAAAAATTTTGCATTTCAATATGTTTTCCATACCCTTAACACGATGACCTCAATTATCCCAGGTCATAAAATTCAAAACATTGGGCTTCGCTTCGATCTAGCATTTTTTCAAATTTCATGCATAGACTTTGCAATTTGAGTGGATGTCAAGAAAGCTTCGCTCGCTGCGTTTCGTTTACCAGAACTATTATCACAAAATAATACATAAATCGTATCCGAGAGCAATTCATAATTTGTGTAAAGTATTCTTACAATAGTTTCAAATTTTTATACTTATTCAATAAATGTGATCGACATGAGTTTTCCGTGAGTTGTGACTGTACTTTTAGAATATACTATTCTAAAGGTATTTAGAAAGATTTGGAATTTTTATAACAATAACGCACACACTCATAGCCCCGCACTAAGGAAACCCTGTATCGTGTGTGCCATGAACAACCACAAATTACATCCAAATTACTAAAGAAATAAATGTAGGCCATACAAGTATTTTCTACCGGCCCGGGAATCCAACCCGGGACCTCTGCGTGACAGACCAGCTTGGTGACCGATCGGCCACGGAGGCACTTTATTGTTTAACGACTTCAAAAAAAGGAGAAGGTGCGAAATTCGACAAATTTTTTTGTATGTAACGCGATAACTGTGGATGTGAACCGCTTTAGATAATTCTTTTTTGTTGGAAAGAGGGTACCTCAGTATTGGCCCATTTAAATTTGAATAGAATAATCCACCTCTAAGGGTGGAAAACTAGAGAATGATTCCGGTTTCTTATCTCTCGATTAATAATACTGGATATTTAAATTATAAATTAAAATATATCAGTTCAATAGAGATATTATGGACTTTTCAAAGGAGATAGTATAATTTCCTATCGTTATCTAATTGTTATCGGGAAACATTTGTTAACATATAAATAAATACATTCAAGTATTGATTATAAATACATTGGAGGCACCGAACTAATAATATAATTATCGTGTAGTGTATTGCTAAAAAACAACTTAAATAACAATGTTTAGTGCAGTAAAAACATGTGAAAGATTGAATAATCGCAAGTTTTAAATAATTGCGGAACAGTATCGAAAAGTGAATTTCTAAGTGTTACATATTACGAACCAACTACAAAAACTTCAGATTTAACCAATCAGATATGTATTGAAAACATCCAAATAATAACAACTTTTTTATAACAAAGAAACCAGTCTCAAAAGTTTGTGCAATTACAAGTTTTATCGAAATTGGTTAATGGAAAACGAGGGAAATCCAATAAACCAGATTCATCCCTTAATGTTCCACCCTTACAGTAGGATATTTTCTTCAAATTTTAATGGGACCACTACTTTCCAATAAAAAGAATAATCGAAGTCGGTTAACAAATGTTGGAGTGATTGAGTAACATACACACACAAAAAAATAACAATCATCGAATTTCGGCCAGCTATCAATTCAATAGTAATGGATCCCCGAAAAACTTCAAATTGCACCCATTCAACTTTAAACAGTTCGAATCTATCTAAAATACCTATAAACATTAAATATCACCCTTCAATAAAAATATCCACGACATTCGGACAAACTTTTCAACGCAAAAGTCCTGCAATGGGTTCAAAAGAAACCTCAAGATGCATTACACCGTCGAACACGTCAAGTTTATACTTGGCTACTACAACGAGTACATCTAAAATTAATACGAACGTAAAGTACCACCCTTCAATAAAAATTTCACAAAAATTCGGTCAAAATTTTAAATATAGTTCTATTGCGGGTCTACAAGAACTTCCAGAAAATTTAACACAGCAAAATTGGCCATTCATTGAGGACTATCTTTTACCTGGGATATCGAACGCGTCGGAAATTCCTACACGAAAAGGTATACATTGGTTTGCTTATTACCTTTCAACAGATTACCTGTGGAAGACGAGAGTCCTGATCATACAATAGTCTCTGTGGCATCGTCTTTACCGCCTTCGGTGGAATATGATAATAACACTCTACGGGCAGAGTTGCTGAAACTCGGTTTCAACGCAGGACCTATCCAAAATAGTACCAGAACTTTGTATTTGAAGAAACTACAGGCGCTTAAAAAGAATCCTATTCTGGCTACCATTAGTAATAAAGGAAAAAGTATGTTTTTATAATTATTGACCAAAAAAATGTTACACCATAATAATTGACAAAATTGACTTACACAACCAAACAGATTTTTAGCATTGAATTTCTATTTCATGCACATTATTGACAACGTCATTTTTATATTATTTTTCTCATGATTTATTTTTGATAAATAATGTTGTGAAATACTTTTTAGTTTAATAGCATAATGGTATTGAAAAAGTTTAAATCAACAAGTAAAGTCAGTAAATTTATTTTCCGCAAAGGTACATAATTTCATAATGATTTTTAGTACAATCTTACAAGGGCCAACATATTAGCATGCTATTTACGTGTTGTTACATAAGTTTACATTGACCTGCTACAACCGCGTGTTATTTTTACGCTATCTACGATCATATAATTGAGCGGGTTTTCCTCCATCACTAAAATTATCCGTTACTTCTAATAAATATTTCTTACTTTTCACAGCCTACAGCGTAGTACTAGAGAAGTCGCTACGTTCAGATGAATGGATGAAAAACTTAGATCCATACATAGAACTTGAAAATAAAGCGCGTAATGACTTCGCTAACCCGAAAAAGAATTGGCGCGAAGGGAACACGAAGGCATCTTTTACGTATTTGCTTCTGGATCCAAGATCAACCGCCAATCTGCCCGCCAGAGCCAGCAAACAAAGTCTTTCAGAAACTTGGAATACTTTCGTCAATTCTATATTTTATGTGGGAAAAGGTAAGATTTACGGTTCAGCCATTATAAGTTTGTGAATCCTCTACATCTAGAAACGTTTCTGTTGTCTACTGGCTATAGTGCTGCTCAAAGCATGAGTAGGTAGATGTTCGTCCTGTGTAGTACTGCCACTTTACTATTTCTGCCGCCAAGCAGTAATGTAAGCATTACTATGTTCCGGTTTTGAAGGAAAAGGGTACTGGTAAAATTACAGGCACACAGGACTTTTCAACTTATGTATCAGGGTGATTTTTGCAATTTAAGTGAGTGGCACTGCCACTGTCATGGATAGGCGTGTCGCTTACCGCACTTAGGCGCACGAGTTGTTCATCCCGTCACTTGGTATTTTAAAAGTCCCACAGCGGGCATGGGTTTCTTTATGGCGAGAGGTTAGGCTATTGTCTACCAGCCTCGCCTGCCAAGCAGTAAATGTGAACATTATTTCGTTGCGGTTTAGATGGGTAAGCGTGGTGGTGAAATTACAGGCACATTGGACTTGATCAAATCTTTGTAATTTAGGGTCGTATTCCAGAACTCTACTCAATGGTCAAGTCAGAACTTGAGTATGATTTCAAGCACTGGAAATACGACCCTAATGGCAAGGACTTGAGTATGATTTCTAGTGCTTTAAATCATACTCAAGTCCTGATTTGAGCATTGAATAGAGTTCTGGAATACGACCCTTAAACCTCTAAGTGGCACTGCAATTGCTATGGACAGGCGTGTCGCTTGCCACCAGGCGCACTTGTTCATCCCGTCACTGGGTATAATAAAAAAAGTTCATTGGAAGTGAAACTACAATAGCCAAAGAATCCGAGATATGGTAACTGAGGTCTAAACATCGTAATTGACTTGAGTACCAAACCCAGAGAGTAATAATAATAACGCACACACTCTACATAGACCCGCACTAAGGAAACCTAGTGTCGCAGATGCCATGGACACACCATAGACAACCACAAATTACACCCAAACTCGCGAGAGCAATAAATGTAGGTCATACAAATATTTCTCCCGGCCCGGGAATCGAAGTTTTGGTTTAAGGTTTCAAACAACGCGACGACGCGGTCGCCTCCGTCAACCTAAATTTTACAGGGTTATTTGTAAACACACATGTATCAACCTCGCAGGACTTTATTACTAACAACATAAACAACAACTTTTGTTCCATTACTTTTAATAATTCATCAGATTGTACATACTTTCGTCCAAAAATAAAAATATTTAAAAGATCGCTCTAAACGGTGATAACTTTGTGCGGTAGCAAAAGAAAGAACGCAAGAGATCTAAAAACACAACAGATCTAAAAAGTGTCAGATACGCAGCTAGTACAAGAAGGTTTTAAAGGTTTATATTTGAAAAAGTCATAGAACTAAAGTTGTTGTTTATGATGATAGTAATATAGTCCTGCGAGATTGTTGTATTTTACAAATAACAAACAATTAAATTTATTAAGTTAGCTTCGAAATTGCATGTTGTAATTGTATTATGTTATTAACACATAATCGCTTAGTACCACTCTGCTCTACTTGTCATAACCAACGCATTTGCATTTTCGTAACTTTCGAGATATTGGCACTTAAAGTTTTTTTTTAAAATGTAATTAAGCTCATTTTGCATACCAATAAAACTGAAATTAAATAAGATATAGATATCCGATTAGAGGGGGTTGTAGATCTCGTTTTGCTGATTCCAGATATGTTAATAACTCAATTTCGCTAAAAATATCGATTACGTTGTTTATAATAAAGACGGCAGCACTGCCCACTTGTAGATAGGTAATGGGATCGAGGATACAGAGATAGGCAAGCGTCCGGGTTTTAACCCGACACTTTGCTAACGCCAGGTTAAAACCCATTGACGCACAAAATCAAGGCCAAAAACTATTTACAGCTAAATATATATTTTTTATAAAGCGAGTTTTGTTGAAAAATGATATTGTTTCATAATGTTTATTGCGTTTTAATCTAGACGATTCGATTTGCCTTTCTAGTAGTAAGTATCCACAGGATTGCAATCTTGTGGATTCTCACTAATAGATAGTAATGTGGATATTGTGTGAAGTTGCCTCGTTCTCGTCTAAAAAAGGATTTTTTTTACATCCAAATTTGTAATAAGTATGAAATTTTATCAAATTTTATATTCGCTGTTTCTGCCCACGATTTTGGGCGAAAACCCGGTTAAAACCTGAGCTGGTTCATTGGGTTTTTACCCACTGCCCATCACAGAGTGAGTGTAATGTACTTTTTTTTAAACTGTTTTGTGGCTTGAACCTACTGCTCTGAACGGCTAGAAATGTTAAATTTTAATAATATTACTTATGATATAAACCCGTTGAACTAATATTTATTTTAAAAACCTAAGATTTTCCATTATAGTAATAATTTATTTATACTCTCCCACCTTAGGTTTTATGTAAAGTGGTTACTGTCTAGCGAGTGCATTGAACCTTACTTCGAAGAGACTGGTGCCTGAAATAGACATAAAAATGCCTCTGTTATAAGTCCACAGGTCCTTATTCCGATTAAAGTAATTTGTTTAAACTCTTCATTTTACATTAATTAAGTAAGTAAATCAAGGGTAAATTGCACGTTTTCTGATTTTGATCAACTATTTTTACACTACACTGTTATATATAACATTATTCTTGAAATCAAAACTAACGCAGCTGTAGACACGTACTTAAGATGAAATTCGAATTTATGCAACCGAAAGTCTTGTTTCTTGTGAAATATTTAAGTACTGCATAGGTACGAGTAATTCATATGTCTATTATAAGAAAGTATTATGCATTTACATAGGTTCTAACGTGCGTAACGTGGATTATTCCACTAGCTAAAATTTTGGTCATCGCCTGCCTTGACGGGCTCGACTCTCGTAAATCCTCATTGACGTCTCATGCATCCCTTATTTCTTTTTTCGCTGACGTAGACCGCCTTGTAGGTTGGAGTGGCACTCTCGAAGTCGATATAATCCACTTTGGGAACCATGGCTCTTGACTATAAAAACAAATAGAGTATAACAAAATAAATCACATAAAGGCAGCAAAAACCAGTGAAACTGAACGTCTTGTTAGAACTGAGAAGCACGAAAAGAGTCTCCTCGCACGAACTACTATACCTTTCCCGTGTAGTATAGATAGAGTATATTTATAGTCTGCAACTAATATACTAAATATATATATATATATATATATATATAATAAACTGCAACATGTGTTGCGTATTGAATATTTTGTCAGTTATATTCTGGAGACCAAACATTAAACATAAACTTGCTAACCAAGCAATACGCACCACATGTTGCAGTTAGACTATGAATATAGTCTTATCTATACTACATTGTAGGGGTTCCAGAATATAAGTGACAAAATATACAATTTAAAATAAAACATATACTTAATTGCTAACCAAGCAATACATACCACATGTTGCAGTTAGATTATAAATATAGTCTATCTATACTACACCCGTACCTACCTTACGCTGATTGACATATCGTTTTATCTGTTGACAAACATTATAAGTGTAAGCCATCAATACGATAAGAAGAAGAATGTAGAACTACTAAAATTATGTTTATTTCTAGGTAAACGGACCCGTCCATATTCCCATCTCTACCAAGCCTTAACTCTATGGAAACGAGACTTCACTACATCGCAAGACCAAAAAGTTCAGAAGATCTTAGACATATGGTCAAATAATTTTGGCGTAATTTGCTTACATGTATTTCTAAACGTCATTCCTGCCGAGGCGTACACCTATGAGGCATCCATGATTGACGTCATAGGGGTAAATAATCTGACCAATCAAAAGGTAGGCAATTATTATGGCGTAGTGGAGAGTTGGCCGTTAAAAGAACGTAGAATGCTAGGGTTGTACCTTTTGTTTAAGGCAATGCAAATTTTCTTAACAGAAGGCGAAAGGCAATTAAGTTCTGATGATATAGACTGAATTTTGTGATAAACTTGCAATAAATTTTAGTTTTAAGGTTGAATAAAACTTTTTCCTAAAGTTGACAGTTTTGGACGAATCGTTTTTATGAGTATTAAAAATTTAAATTTGACAAAGTTGCTGATCTTTAAGTAATATTTTACTTAGTTAAGTCTTTAACTTTGACAAATTTAAACCAAAACACATATTTAAGCATTTGACTGTAGGAACTACCTATTTCATATTAATTTTAAAAACTATCAACAAGTTTGTATATAAATAATTTTGATGGATTTTAAATGAGCTCTCAGGTTGAAATTATGATTGTGATAATATTGTTACAAGTGACCTTTTAATGCACAGTATTTAAATGTTCAACAAAGATTACTAGTTTAAGCTTGTGCTATTTAATTGTATATAACATTTTTTTAATTTAAAATGTTTTATAATTTTTACAATATTATATGTACTTATTGCATTGTGTTGAGTGTACTTAATTAATTGAAGATTTTATAGATTCTTTTAAAATTAATTAATGTAGGGATAATCATCGGATATACTTTTTTTGTTGTGCTGTATACATGCTTACTTATGGATACATTTTATTACACAGTTGCGTTAAAAAATATTGGATTGCTTGTGATAGTATCGATTATGAAAGTGTATACATTTATTTAAAAAAAAAACAAATTTAAATTTAGAGACAAAAGATTAGAGACTCGAAAAGCTGTAACACTAAATTTCACATCGGGTTTTTGAATAGTATATCGCACACTCAATAATAAAGTATCTTAATACGAAACATAACATTTTTGGGAAACTAACAAAATAAATTTAAAAAATAAGTTAGGAAGTAATTTTTTTTTAACATACTCATACATACATCATTCCCCGCACTAGGGAAGCCCTGGATCGCAGTGCCATGAACACAAATCACACCCAAACTCACGAGAGAAATAAATGTAGGCCATACAAATATTTCTCGAACGCGGGACCTCTGCGTGGCAGTCCGGCATGGTAACCGTTCGGCTACGGAGGTTGTTTATTTTGTCACCACAATACAGTAAGTGTACTGTACAATAAGCATGATCTTTTTTTAACTCTATTTCTTTATCACCTTTGATAATTGTTGAACGTGTCGTAGAAAAACAAATAATACATCAAGAATAATTAAATGAAGCATGATATCAAGAGCAATATATAACATCGATAATTATACTGGTGCGTAAACTGGATGTAAGGTCTGTACACTGTTTCAAAATACCAGTTTCCACCTCTTGTGTAAATAAAATAGAATTTTTCCAATAATAATAAAATATGCCATTTGACTGTTGTCACGTACGTTATTTGTTTAAATATATTTTACCTGTTTCCAAAAATTAGGTTTCGGTTTACGTTACTTTATTATTGAAGTTGTGATATATGACCTGTCGGGTGGCTTTTTACCGCTCAGTTAACAGTAAACGACAATCCTATTTGTATACGGGTGTCCAATAAATAGGCAATAAATTATACCTCACACGTAAGTCAAAATACCATATTTTGCTATGTAACTTAAACGTATATGTCCTGTTTTATGTATATTATAGGTTCCATGTTTGAAAGTAAACAACACTAAGTGATTTATTTACTTTTAAACATGGAACTTATACATAAAAATAGGTATATTTAAGTTACAAAGGAAAAATGGTATTTTGACTTACAACAACTTACGTGTGAGGTATTGTAATATGCAAAGAGTTACTTTGTGTTTTTGTTTTTTTTTTCAAAATTCTCAATAAATATTTTGTTACGAACGGAAGTTGTCGGTATTCACGTAAGCTGACTCTCCTTGAATATTATTCTCTAGTTTCTGGACAACCTTTATAAACCAATCTGTTAGCTATTATCCTTGTATAATAATTGGAAGTACCAAAGAAGTACCTACCTAGATACTATTTATTTTGTACATAGGATATAACAAAAAGGTCCAATTATATTTTAATTGATCTTTATCCTGGTAACTTTAGCAAAATACAATTTGGACTCGAAAACCCGTTGACCGCGTACATTATGTATGAAAATATAATTATTATGTTCAAAAAGCTCTTGTACGATGGCAAATTTTAGTATAGTCGGATCTTTTTGTTATATGAAGAAATACAGGAACATTGGACTTGTCAACTAATGTCTCAGGGTAACAGTAGCGGGCGCAGCGGCAGTGCTCCTCAGATTTTTGCGATTTAAAGCTCTTAAGTGGACGGCACTACGTTATGAAACTTAGGCCGCAAACTTGGAACGCTCCGCTGTACACGCCGCCGTTCCGAAGGGAGATGCCACACGGGGGTTGCATCATCGCAACTGCGTTGTACTACATATAAATCAGAACGACATGCCACACGGTGCGTTGAAACTGCGCGTGTCGACGGAACAGCTCTTGTGGCACGCAGTCCGTTGAAATCAAAGCAGTTGCGACGACGCAACGCCCGTGTGGCATCTTCCGAATTTGCGGCCGTAGCATGGACACAGCGTGCTTGTTAACTAGGGTACAACCCTTTATAATTACACAATCTATGTATTTATTCGTAGATTTTAGTTTTACTACACTTTAACCTGCTTGATGTGTTACCATACTGTTACGATGCGTACCTGTGTAATTTATAAAATAAGTACCAACCAATATTGTCCATTCCAATATTGTCATATAATTATACTAACCAATTAAAAGTTTGGTATCCCATTCACAATAAAATGTAGATTTTAAATTAATGTTAGTAATAAAATAAGTCAAAACAGGATCAAATTTGAAGTGAGTCACTATTCTTGGAAAATAGCAATGTGTTTTTTAGATAAATATTTGTTTTAAAATGAAACATTTTCCATAGACTGAGTCAGTCTTGACTACGTGAAAAAAAAGTTACATGTTTATATGTAATAATCGCTAAAACCCTTTTTGATGGAGAATATTTAAAATTCGACTAGTCCGGTAAAAGCCGTAATTTAGTATTATTTTAGTCGCAAAAAAGTATTTTAGTCGGTCCACAGTTTTAAATGAATAATATTAATATTTATTTCGTACATATACACGAATGGGTCACACCATAAGTTGCAAAAAAATCGTGGTTACGAAACTCAATTATTATCATATTTAACTATGAGCTTTCACAACCTCTAAACTTAAGAGTTGTAAGTTACGAGGAGGTTTTACTTTTCACGGTAGAATAAACTTTCATCATTTTAGCGACTAGAACCGACTATGTCATATCTGAATAGGATTTTTTTAAACTGGATTATGGTGACAATGCAATAAGCCACGATAACACTTTGTAACCTCGTACCGGTAAAAAATATCAAGAAAAATGACGACGGTTCTATATAGTATGGTTTAGGATTGTATATACCGTAAATACGAGTATGCAAATGTACATTGTATAACTACTTGGTTTAACACTTGTTTTAACGTTCTACAAAACGAAGGGACTTTTTTAACCTTCATAGTTAAATAAAATTCAGTAGGTATTTAACTTTTTTGTACTTCATCGATTCATGTACACCTAGTCAAATAATCACAATTCGCAAGTAAGCATAATGTAATTTATATTTTAACATGACATTAATATTCTTCCAATTATTTAAGAAATAAAACACATTTCTTTAAGAAATAATTTATCTTTATTATTCCTTTTTTTATACGTCTCGAATTCTTTTCTAAGAAAAATCAAACTTGGCTTTAGTTACATCAAAAAAATACACAAATGTTCATTATTATATTATGTATTCAGACATTATACATACAATGATCATGTTTCCATACCATGTGGGCACTGGTATGATGATTTTGGCTTGTGTAAACAACTTTATTCATTTAAAGGTAATTTTACATCATTTTTGTTCATATGGAAAATTAAGAGGCAAATAATTAATTTCAAAGTGTCATTCGGCAATTCCTTAGAGAGCTTCTATTAGTAGATACATTGTTACACGTAGCCTGGTGTATTATTATTTTCCTTTACAACACTAATGGACGTAAATTCAATTTTGACGAAAATTAATTATATATATCATAGTATAGGACATGAAACTCGAAATCAAATTATGTAAATTACTTTTTTGCGTCAAAATCGTACGGTCTATTCGGAGTAAAGGGACGACACATTGTCTAATATCTCGTCGTAAAATATAGGCCTAAACACACTCCCAGGTGATTCCAGATGTTAGCATGACCTTTACAACACAACTGTCATGCTTCAATGACTCTTCAAACGAATAAAGTTACTTTAAAGGTAGGCGCACATTATGTCGAGTCGCAACGAGTCGGATGGCATGATATACAGAAACCGGCTGCTTAACAAGCTTGGTTATTGTACACGTATAACGCCGAAATAACTTCACCCGATCTAATTATTCCTCGTAATAGAGTACAGTATACTCTTATTATAAACAAAATTGGCATGTTTATATGTACATTATTCAGTTAGTCAAAACTACCTATAAAATATGTTAATAACATCCAGTTATTTTAGAATTGTGATATAAATTCGTCAAGACGCAGCGACTCGACATGTGTAATTTGCGCTTCGATGCGGCGTTACCTCTACAATACCCTAATCTATAACAAACGAAAGCGTAATGTTGCATATTCGAAAGAGATTTTAAAACAAAAAAAAAGGATCAGTCTATGCATCCGTAATTCTCCCTGCTGAGATCATGTTACCTTACGACACATGCTCTCCTGGTACACTCATACTAAAAACGGTCTAAATATTCCATATTTTTAAGCAACTAACATTTTTGATGTCGAATTTGGTCACAAATTTTTGAAACTCAAAGGAACTTTACAGTCAGTTACACTATTCCTAGACATTTTATAATGCAATTTAACAATCAAACGTTTTACAGTTCGATCTCCTGACGTGCACATTGCGCGTTTAAACTCTATAGTCTTCTAAAGATTTAGAAATGTTTATCGACACCGCTGCCGTTCCTGCGTAAGACAGGTAAAATGTACTTTTACTGCAGAATTCACAAATTAGTTCGATCTGCTTTTCTACTGGTTTTTAGATTTAGTGCCAGTATTATGTACTGATTTTTCAAAATTCAAACGTATCTTGTGTTAAAACGACAAAATGTTAGCTCCTTTTAGACAAAACTGTTAAAATTGTTAAAATACAGTCGAGAAAAACTGCGCTTAACCAGCCGAAACTCATGTACGATTGCTTGCAATACTTGTACGATGAAATTTACTCATTAAACCCACTTCGGACAATGCTAGTAAAAGTTTACTCGACTGACAAGTAACTTTATTTAGTAACAATTCGACTAAGTTCTCTTCGTTCAGACACGTTGTGTTAAGTAACTAAATTATTTGGCACTCAAGTGAATTTAATAGCCGTGTCCAAGTGAGCCCTGATTGCTGAAATTACTGGTTAAGTACTCATAAATAAGAAATCTAACAACTATCTTATGTTAATAACACTTTTTCTAAACAATTCACATACACGTTAAAGGTGTAAATAAATCAACGATATCTGTTACTGGGGTGTATATATGATATATATTATATTGAATTATACTTTTTAAAAGGAAAAAAATAATATGACGATCTTACTCAACTTAGGCCCCTGGTCTTTAAAAGAATCATAAATAAATATTAATAATGATTGGGTCTATCATTACCACGTTAATTAAAGGATATATTCATAAAAAGGGTTAAGGCGCATGGTGTTGAACGGGTTGGCCGTACAAAAAGCACGTTTAGTACAGAATGCAGTTCGCTTCGATGTTAGGATCGCGTTGTCATACTAACTAATCGTGCTGTTTGTATGAACTAACTTTCAATGTGTATGTATGTCCCTATCGCGCCCGTAGACGATGCTCTAATTTCGTGTGCCGAGCTGACAAGTCCTCGACTAATCGACTTTGGCTAGTATTATTTATATTACTCTACACGTAAAAAAGAGCGTCTGTGTGGCGCCTTAGGTATAACTGTTATAGTAGATATTAGATTGAAAGTATCCAATCAGAGAAAAATTTAGACTACTAACAAAAAGTAGGAAAAAAACAATGGTTCTCCTCGTTGGACAGAAATGCTATACTAAATTTCAGAATTGGCGTCCGTCAGATGTACTGTTTACTAGTTATTTATCATTCTTTTGCAACAGGTATGATTATGTAACAGGTACAAGTCGACTCACATTATCATACAACACTACTGTAGCTTGACAACTTCACAATGAGTTTTCACTACCAACCTCTTATTTCATCAGTGCATAAATAATTAATTTAAAACATATTTTTTCAATACATCCGTTCTTAGAATATTTTATTAAATATGGCAGTATTTGCAGGCAAATGTAAAACTCATTATAAAATTGTTATTTCAAATACAACTTTAATAGAAATATAAGCATCAAAGTAATATCGATTTACTCGTGTATCACTTAGTGCTTGAATAAAATTAAGTGTTTATATCAAATTACAAACAAGAACGGTCACATTTGGTTATAATTGTATATTTTCTTATATAATGTAACCAAAACATAGGAAATATTTACCATTCTAAATGCTACAGATATGTGAAGCACGCTCACATGAGCTAGGTCACGTTAATCAATTACTTAACAAAACATTTTCACAATTGGAATATTTAGCCAAAAGGTAGCTTGCTAACCGATGTTTTCGTTTTAACTTAAAATAATCGCGAGTTCCATTGCAAGTAATCTTGCATGCTAGTATTGTGTTCATTGAGTTACGAATATAAATTTAGAAACTTGCATGCAGGCTATTTGCAGATGAGAACGCGTCTTAATAGACAGAGTGAACGCAAGGAGATATGGATTCAAAAGAATTGGAAGACTAAATTGGAAATTATACGATTCACCATTCGAACACATCGCTGGGAATCATTTTAAATGCAACTGTCGAACGTGAATGCAATAATAACTATTGTGCAATAGTAAATCGCTCAAAACTTTTGTCTTTGCGAAGTTTGCGAAGCTACTCATAAATACAAGCAAATTGATGTATCCAGACAAAAAGTATTGAGCGATATTCCGCAGAAACAGTAATCCCTTGTATTCGAGAATATCGGACTATAAGAATTTATAGTTATTTATCAATAAAAGCCAGACATACACGTACAGCGATGTTCAAACACTCAACGATTCTATAGGATGCTCTACATTATACGTTAATTAGTCAATCCTCACTATATCGAGACAAATTACGATTTGTGCACGCTACTCATATTGTTATGATCACATTGACGCCTTCAAACTTACGCTACTTACTTATTGATTAATTAATTAATCTTACTTTTATTTCTAGGTACGATTGCTTTTCGTTATGTGGAATGCTGTTTTTATAAATAGATTCTTACTAGGTGGTTTGGTAGTTTTATGGTGACAATTTTGAATTTGTTTTCGGGGCTTAAAACTTCAGTACAATGCCCGGTGAAACGGAGAATTCGATGTTTCTTTACATTTAAAAATCCTTACGGAGAACTAAATAATCGTATATTAATTTACACGTAATACAACTAATATTTACAAAGCTAGTTTGTGCTTCCACTAATAAACATATAAAACAAAGACATATAGAGGAGCTTTGCAGTCCAGACGCACCTCTTTACCAACGAACACGACATTCAGGAGTCTTTTAATAACACAACACTCTTCAACTATAAAAGATTCAGGTAACTATCGGTTCGGACACATTCTAGAACATTCAAAGCGCACATCACATTTAAAATTTGTGGGTTACGCGAGATCACAGTGTTTAAATTATGGCTACTGGCATAGAGATTAAGTTTCAAAGGTTTCACACAAAGTTTTCACACAGTCGTTCATATTGTCACTTCACTATCCAATGTCCAGCTTTTATAGACACGTTTACTACTGTTCATTGTACCGTGTCCGTGGCCCACGTTAAAGTGGCTGTACTCTTGATGTTTCCAGTTTTAACCTGGTTTGTCCTTTCACTTGGGTGGCGTCGGGAAGGAATTGACGACCGCTTGCGTGCTGGCGAGCACAGCCGCCGCTGCAACACACAATCTTCTATTAGTGCCTCTTGACACTTAGCTCTGCATCTCTCTAATCACATCTCTCTAGTGTTTAATTATTGCTCTCTTGCTCTCTCTCTAATGTGTAGACCATCTAGGTCTCTCTGTCTACCAGGGCTGGTAGCTACACGGGTTGTGCGGGACTGGCCCGCTTTTCCGCGTGCTATCGCGCCCCTGCAAGCAATTTACGTACCAATTAGAAGTAAATAATGAATGCCAACAAATCAGTTTGTTTAGAGAAGATGTATTCGAGAGCTGCAGGTTGATTTAAGAATAAAATTAATTAATACCTGTAAATGTAATGTAGTACGATAAAATGTCTGTTCTTCAAACTAAGGAATTACCTGTACAGAGCAATAGAAATCAGAACACCCAGAAGTCAGATTTTTTTCGATTTTTGGCATATACCTCCAAAATAAACTTTACACATTTTTGCGAATAAGTCAAAACTTTACTGGAAAAGCGTAAATTATTGGTTACAGTTTAAGTTTTTCAAGAAGTACCGGGAATACCGGTTGGGTAAATCGGGGGATTTAGAACTCTTCGATATTTTAACCGAATCGTTCGATTCGGATTCGGATACGATATCGTTATCCGACGGCGTCTACGGAGTTAGTTGGTGAAATAGATTTGAATGATGAAAATCCTTTTATATACATTTTTAAAACTCAAGGCCTAAAATATAGGAATGCATTAGTCTTGCATTAAAATAAATTAATAAAATTGAATAAAATCCAGACTTTATTTAAAATAATAAGAGATTTCCATATTACAATCTTGCTTTATAAACAACAGGAGGTTCGGTAACTTTCATTCGATAACTGTTCTGAATAACATTTGTGGCCTTTGCCAGTCGAGAAGCTCGATTAATCGTACAGGTGTCATTTCGGTTGAGTTTCGAATACGACAGTTTGACGTTCGATGCGGGTATTGTGAATAAAAAGAAATCGTACGATATCAAATCGAATCCGTCGAACAACCGAGTTATCGTAAGGTTCTGAATCGACCCCCTCAGCTGAACCCGGCATCGGGAACCAGTTCCGCAAACCCTAGCACCGGTGGGACCGTACGTACCAGGGTAGGGCGGCGGGTAGAGCGGGTAGCCCAGGCCGACGTGCGTGTGGTGGTGTGTGTGCACGTGGCGCTGCGGCGGCGGCGAGCGCGCAGGCGCGTCTTTGGGCTGGTCGCGGTCGCCGCGCGGCGCCGGCTTGCCCTGCGGCGACTTCGCGTGCTCCTGCAGCTCGTGGATCTTGTGAGGCCCTCCGTGCCCGCCGCCGTACGCGTACTGGGCGCCGTGGCCTGAAAAACCAACACGGGGTATAATTAAAATTGATGCATCGATAAATATAGTTTATAATAAAATATTATAATATCATATGTGATATTTATCTAATGATATTATATGTAATATCATTAGATAAAAACTTATAAATCAAATAAATTCACTCTCCTGTATAAAAGTTGTTTGTGTATTTATTATTGGTTTATACCGCCTTTTGTGTCGAATTTGCCATGAACGGAACCAATGCACAGGGCCTTCACAGCGTTCGTCAGCTGTCAATGCGTAGCAATACATTGTTTGTCAGGCTAGTGGCGCTGTAACCATTAATACGTAATGTATGTGTCTGTTTTTCCTAAAATACTTTTGGCGTGTTGTCTGTGATATTTGCCACGGAGATATAGTTACTTACTATAATATTCAATGCACTGTATAAAAAATGCACTGTTTGGTCCCAAAAACTGCATTTTAATAAATATATGAGTAATAATGCAAACTCATGTAAAGCGGCTTGGAACTTAATAAAAGAACAAACTGTTTCTAAAGTTCCAAATGAAATTAAGAAGATTATAAATGGAAATAATACTATCACTGATCCCAAGAAGATTGCTACATCATTTAATGATTACTTTATTGCCTTGACACTCACAACCTCTCTCTCTCTCTCATCTTAGCGTTGTCCCGGTTGCGTCCTCAGCAGGGTTGCTGCGGAGCCCGGGATCCGCTTTCCTACTTTTTCTCCTCCACTTTGCACGGTCTTCGGCATCCTTAGTGGTGAGACCATTGGCACGCATATCACCCTTGGCGACGTCAAGCCAGCACTTCTTGGGTCTGCCCCTTCTACCGGGGCCCGGCGGAGGTGGCATAGCCAGACATTTGTTTCCCACGTAGCATGCCGGTTTCCGTAAGATGTGGCCGTACCAACGTAGGCGGCTTTCTTGCAGTTTATCTGCAATGTCACGGACATGAAGGCTGCCGCGGATGCGGGAGTTTCTGACACGGTCTTTCCGTGAAACTCCACACATCCAGCGCAGCATCTTCATTTCCGTGACACGCAGCTCCTGCTTATGACGCTCAAGTACGGGCCACGTTTCACTGCCATATAAAAGGACAGGCCTAATGATGGATTTATAGACCTGTCCTTTCAGCTTAACCGGCATCTTGGGGTCACAAATTACACCAGTCACCTCACGCCACTTTGCCCAAGCGGCTGCGATTCGGGCTCTGACGTCGCAGTCGATGTCTCCGGACGCGCTAAGTACAGATCCCAAGTATTTAAACTGGCCCGTAGGCTCGACCGCGTCTTCGCCTATGCGTACGGGTAGGGGATCTGTAGCGTTGCAGACCATGTACTCAGTCTTCGCCACATTTAGTCTCAGACCGCCGTTCTCAAGCGACTCCTTCCACACATTCACTCGTCGTACCAGTCTCCCTCTATCCGCATCCGCCAGCGCGATATCGTCAGCGTACATAAGCATCCACGGGGGTTGCTCATGCGTGTCTCGGATGGAGCTTGAGACCTCGTCTAATATCACGCTGAACAGATAGGGACTGAGAACTGAGCCCTGGTGAACTCCGACTGTGACAGGGAAGGGTTTAGTGTCACCAACAGCAGTCCTAACCATGGAATCGGAATCGCGGTACATGTCTCGGATGATGTCAATATAAGCTTCTGGTACCCCTTTGGATCTCAGTGCCCACCAGATCATTACACGGGGGATACAGTCGAAGGCCTTCTGCATGTCAAGAAACATGAAATGCAGAGGCGTATTCTTCAATCTGTATTTCTCCATGATGACCCTTAGGGCAAAAACAGGATCCATGGTCCCAAGACCAGGCCGAAACCCATATTGACCCTCCGAGACAGCACTCTCCTGTCGGATCCGAGAGTCTATTATACGCTCGAAGAGCTTCATGGTGTGGGACATGACCTTTATGCCCCGATAATCGCCACACTCCTGCACCGATCCCTTCCCTTTGAAGACTGGAGTGATAATACTCAGTCTCCATTGGTTAGGGATTTTACCGGTGAGGAGCACGCGATTAAAGAGGCCGGTAAGGATGCCCACACCACGGGGACCCATTGCCTTCCAGGCCTCGATGGGAACCCTATCGGCTCCGACAGCTTTCCGATTCTTCATGCGACGAAGAGCTAAGTGGACTTCCTCAGGCGTTACCGGTCGCACTAGTCCCTGATTCGGAGGGAGGACCGGTGGCTGCACCTCTCTGTGCTGCTGATTCAGCAGCTCGTGGAAATATGAGCGCCATCTCTCCTTCACCGCGTCGACCTCGCATATAAGGTTGCCATGAGGGTCTTTAATGCAGCGACACTTGGAAATATCTTGTGCCGCTAAGACCCTCGAACGTGCCAGCTTAAAGATAAGCTTCTGCCCCTCAGACGATTCCAACTTGTCATACAACGGCTGCAAGTGGTCCCGTCTGGCTCTGGCTACAGCTTTCTTAGCGGCACGTTTGGCATCCCTATATGCGTCGCGGTCTTCAGAAGATTCGGACGCTTGCCACGTTTTGAAGAGGGCTTTCTTCACCCTCACCTCCCTCTGGACTGTGTCGTTCCACCACCAAGTTTCTTTGTCACATTTGCGACCACCCTTGGACAAGCCCAGCACCGCTTTCGCCGCCTCAGATATGGCAGTCTGAATGTTGTCCCAGTGGTTCTGGACTAGATCACCTTCAGTGTCGGCGCATTTATCGCCGATCGCTGAGATGAACTCCTGAGACGTGGTACTATCAAGCCGCCACCATCTGATTTGGCGTCGGCAGCGCTCAGCGGGCTTGTCGGCCGGCTTTACGCAGAGATCCATGACAAGAAGACGGTGTTGCGCAGTGAGACTCTCACCTGGTATGACCTTGCAGTTGGCCACTTTGCTGATATGGTGTCTCCTGGTGAGTAGGAAATCGATTTGGGTGGCGTGTCCGCCGCTCTTATAGGTGATTAAATGCTCGGGGTTCTTTTTAAAGAACGTGTTCACGATGGCGAGATCGGCCGCCGCACACGTTGTGAGGATGTCTCCTCCCTCCGCGTTGCGACTGCCGTACCCGTAGCCACCGTGGACCCGCTCGAACCCTTCACACGCCTCACCCACATGACCGTTCAGGTCGCCACCCAAGACGACTGCCTGAGACAAAGGAATGGCACTCAGCACTTCCCCGAGTTGATCCCAGAACCTCGCCCTGTCCGTGTCGCTGCAACCGGCCTGAGGTGCGTAGGCGCCTATCAAGTGGGTCACGACCCCTTCGATAAGCACCCTCACTACCATAAGCCGGTCGCTAAAGCGTTTCACTTCCAGGACGTGATCGTGAAACTCCTCGGAGAGCACCACGGCCACCCCGTTCACGCCCCCAGGAGCACCGGTGTAGATCAGCTTGTAGCCATTCCCAATGAGCCGGGATCTGCTGCCTTTCCACCGAGTCTCCTGCAGGAACGCCACGGCGACCCTCCGCCTGGAAAGCACGTCTGCTAGCTCCCTCGCGCGTCCAGTCAGCGTGCCAATGTTCCACGTGGCAAAGCGGAGCTTCCTATGATGGGTAGGGGCTCGCCTCTTTAACCGTGCCCACCCTTGACACGGTAGCCCTAGTCCACTTGCCACAGAAGTCGGGCGAGGCTCCTGCGCGCCGTTTTGCGGCGGCGCCCTATCCCTATGCCATATCCTTCTGTTGACTTCCATAAGTTGATGTGGCGGTGTTGGTTTTTACGGGAGCGACTGCCGTCTGACCTCCCAACCCCCGAAAGGGAAAACCCCTCGCTAGAGCCTCGTCCGTCTATCAGCAGGCGCACCACTTGCAGGTGAGGTTAGCTTGGGCTCCAAGATGTATGTAGGTGGAGCCCCCAAAACGCCCAAAAAATTAGTAACCAAACCAACAAATTATGGTAATATTAGTAAGTTATTATCAGTCGAACAATCTGCTTACTCCTTTTTTTTAAAGCCAGTAGCAGTACACGATGTTCTCAAAATTATATCAACACTAAGAAATTCCAATGCTTGTGGCTTTGATGAGATATCAATCAAAATAATGATGATGTGTGGACACGAATTAGCACCAATTTTAACTTATTTAATCAACTTATCTTTTGAAACAGGTGTGTTCCCAGACATATTAAAAAAATCTATTATTAAACCTATTTACAAAAATGGAGATGAGGCTGATATAAGCAACTATCGACCTATTACGTTAACACCAGTCTTGTCTAAAGTATTCGAAAGGAGTATGTATGCTCAATTGTACGACTACTGTGTGAAATTTAAGATTATTAGAGATGAACAGTATGGTTTCCGAAAAAGAAGGACAACGTCAGATGCTTGTTTCAGACTGACTAACGCTATTACACAAAGTTTAGATAAAAAAAGCATGTAACAGCTCTATTTTTTGACATGTTTAGGGCATTTGATTTTGTGTTTCATGATACTCTATTACAAAAGCTTGAGCGTTATGGTGTTCGAGGCTTACCTCTGCTGTGGATGGACTCTTTTTTGAAGAATAGAATGCAGAGTGTCGAAGTGCACGCAATAGGTGATCATGATATTCAATCAATTTATAACTCAGAATACAAACATAATAAAAACGGTGTTCCACAGGGTAGTGTATTGGGTCCCTTGTTGTTTATGCTGTATATTAATGATCTACCTAAAGTGACAGACCATAACTGTGTATTATTTGCAGACGACTTATCCATTATAGTGATGTCTAATAAAAAATATGTAAACGAATATGAAAACGACATTAACGTTACTATAGAATCCGTAATGGAATGGCTTAATAACAATAATTTACATGTAAATCTGACAAAAACAAATTACATTCAGTTTGCTTTATAGGGAAAATCACAACTTAATCTAAATGAACATTATAAGAATCAATAGATTTGTATAACTGATAACAAACAATTTTTAGGACTATGGCTGGACAAAAATCTTAATTATAACAGCCATATTGATAATTTATGTAACAGAATCAATAAATTTGTATACATGTTAGGCAGCCTTTTTTTTCTCAGGGGTTATGTGGGGACTCTCCCTCCACACTGGAAGGATGTGTTAGGCAGCCTGCCTATTTTAGGCAATTAATAACAATTAACAAATTATTAACTCATTTGTAAAACTTTTTTAACCATATCTTATGCAAATAAAAATAATTTCATTTCATATTTATTTCGGGTATAATGGATTTTTTACGTATAAAGAGTGTGTTTTTTTTAAATGATATGGAGAAATCCCGAAACCAAAGAAGATTTTTGTTATTCAATTTGACCAACTTCCGCTGTCCCGATTTTTTTTGTCATCCTTATAACAAACTGAGTCTATAAACATTAAAAAAAATGTCAATTTTATTCATTTTGTATAACAAAAAAAACATTTCATGAAATTTGTCCAACTTCTGCTGTCCCGCTTTTTTGTCCCATACAATGAAAAGATCTCGATGATGATGGACGAACTCTTCCACGTGGAGCTCTACTGCTACTAACCATATTTAAACCCTTATCTTGAATTAAAATACTATAGAGCATAGACGCGGGAAAACGATTGGACATTTCATACGACACGACTACTTCTTTAAGACCATTTTGGAGGGAAAGATCGAGCGGGAGAGGAGAAGAGGTCGACCTAGGCGCAGTTACATAGACCAAATAAAGGAAGAGGCCGGTGCCGTGTCATATAAGGAGGTCAAGGAGCTGGCTTTTAAGAGAGATGATTGGAAGATGCTCCATCGACAAGATAAGTTTGATGATGATGATCTTGAATCACCTTATAAGGTATGTTTCAACCCAATCGCCAGCAGAGGCTACAAGACTCTTTAATACATTAAATTAAGATCCAAAATTCTTTAGTGAGTTAAATATAAAATATTTCGAGTCATCCGAAGAACAGAGCACTTTGTGAGATACAGTGAAAAGAGGATAAACAATAATCTTGTTATTGAAACTAAAACGTATCTATAGGTGTTTTCAGAATTGTTATTTATATCTTATTTCGTTTCGGAAATATAAAATCGAACAAACGGTCGATCTAATATCCATAGCAAAGAACAACGAACGAAATGTACAATGTCCTGAGAAGAAGTAGTCTTGCACGTAAGTCCTTGTTCTACGGATGAGTCAATTTATAAAAATATATTTCCTTACCTGGTGGCAACAGATCTAACTTGGCCGGCGCTCCAGGTCTTGATAGATCCTCAGGCGCATGGTATCTCGGCACGGTCCAGCCGCCGCCGAAGCCTCCCACCAACATGGGGCTAAGGGGAGCGCGGTACACGGGGTCGAATGGGAGCGCCCCGTAGTGAGGGGCCTGCATATATGGTGGAAGGTAATACTGCGATGTTGGGGGTGGAGGAGGCCCTTGCGTTTCTGTTGTAGGCTTTTGGCCTTCTTGTTTCACCTGTGAACGTGAAAAATTTAAATTAAACCTTAAGTTTAGGTACTAGTACAGTCATGTTGTGTTTGTAACAGAGGAGTATCATTGATTTTCGCACACTACTGCTACCTACTTTACTTTTATTTCGTTCCCTATTTATTGTATTTGTTTCCTTTATTGGGTGCCATTGGATACGCTTTGTTTCTTCGTTAAGTACCGTTGGGCACGTATTTGTTTTCTTCATTGTGTGTCATTGGGTACGTATTTAGTTTCTTCAATCGTGCTCAATGATAGAACAGGAATTTTAGTTTCTTTTTTTGGGTGCCATAGGGTACGTATTTTGTTTTTTCGTTATGTGCCATTGGGCATGTATTTAGTCTCTTTATTGGGTGCCGTTGGCAGGTATTTGGTTCCTTCATTGGGTGACATTAGCCACGTATTTGCTTTTCTCATTGTGTGCCATAGGGTACGCATTTAGTTTCTTCAATCGTGCTCAATGATAGAGCACAATTTTTGGTTTCTTTATTGGGTGTAGCAGTCTGAACTCTTGAATTTTTTGAATGAAATTACTTACCTTAGGTTCGTCCTTAGGTTTGTCGTCCTTAGAATCTTTGGTGGTGGGCGGCTTGTGAGCGGGCTGCGGCGGCGGCCGGCCCCCGCCCGCCGCCGCGCCCGCGCCCCCCGCAGCCCCCACGCCCGGCCCCACTGGGCCCCCCAGAGGTCTTTCGCCTTCTTTCCTGCGTTGCTCAAGCGTCATGTAGTATCTGCAGAAAATGCATAGTAGTTACAATAATATTCCAACAACACCACCACATATAACAAGAATTTGCCCTACACGTTTGGCCAATTGGCTAGTAACGCTCAATCTAATACAATATACACAGGGAGGTTACCGAGCCTCCTCCTGGACATATCCTTCAGTTGCTTTCTATAATACCTATCACGAATGGTCGTATAATATATTTAACCGAAAATATTAATCTATTCGCCTAAAGTACGATCAAAACAAAGCGTACAATGTTGACATTGATTGTAAACCGAAAAGCTATTAAGTTAAAATCATAAAATACCTTCTTAACTCCTCTTCCCTTGCATGTGGCGGCCGTTGGAAGGCATATGGACCCATCTGAGCTTTCATTTCAATACTCTCTTTCAGTATCTGATGATTATCATTCGGCCTGGCAGGGTTCTCTTTTCCGTCAGGTAGTCTTTGCTTGCTCTTATCCAGCGGACTTGGTGTAGTCTTGGACCGGTCAGTCTCTTTGTTCTTGTCATCTAGAGGTGGCCCCGGAGGTCCTCCTTCGACATTATAAGGAAAGTTTGGTACGTAGTTGTACGGATAGAAATGCTGAGGTAGAACCTTTGGTGGACCTCCTTCGGGTTTCACGTCCTGTAATCGAAACTAATTCAAATTATTTCAGTCTACAGTCCACTATATTAGCCTAATACGGTTTTGGGACAACCCAAGGATTTTGGTTTGTTTATTTAGAAATTGAAACTCTTAAAGTTGAGATCGGTTTGGGAGTGTTTTTACTGTAATCTCACAAAATCCAACGCAACAGAAAACATCAAAAACTGTACAATAGTTTTTGACGATAAGTGTCTGCGAACGTTGCCATTATACTGAACAGAATGGGTAGCCATATTCTGGAGTTAGTGAGAAGTACTAAAGATCTTGATTTAAAAACATAAAAGTAACGTACTTTGAGATCAGCCTTTGGATCTCCCTTGTGGTCATCTTTGCCTTTGTCTGTGGGTGGTGGCGCGGTAGTCGCGTGCGCCGGTGGTAAATATGGAGGTTGTCCGTAGTACTGCGTACAGACACCGATTATTAAATTTTGGGTGATTGTACCCAGGTACACATTCGGCAACAGTAATAATGATTCAAGGCTAGAAATTAAAGGATGGATATGTTCCTTACCTGATGATACACCGGGAAAGGTCGATGTCCTTCAGGGTCCGGAGCGCCTTCAGTAGGAGCCGCGTCGTCCGAGATATCGGAATAGGCCGGCGAACGCACGCCAGGGGTAGGCGACCGCCGCGCGCGCCGCTTGCCAGGCGACTCGTCCGGGGGTGACTCTGTCGACTTGCGCTCCTCGGTAGGCATCAGCGCTGACCGCGGTTTGACCTACAACGTACAATGTGTGTGTTAACTATCTGCTGATAAAAAAATGAGCAAGATGGTTACAGTTTATGAAATGCAGTACTTACCTTGAACTGTGTAGGTTGTAACGTTGGTAGTGCTTCTGGGGGAGGTGTAGCAGACGCAGGAGGTGTTGGCGTTCGTTCCGGCTGTGGCGCTGACTCGGCAGTCTCCGGGAATTCCTCTGGGAACCTCTGCTGAATCGGAGAGTCTACACTCGTCTCCGGCTTCTCTGGAGACTTTTCCGGAGACTTTTCTTTGATTTCAGGAGATTTCGCAGGAGTTGGAGATTTGACGGGAGTTGCAGGGGTGGCTGGTGCTGAAGGAGGTCGCACAGGGGACACAGGCTCAACTGCTGGTTCTTCCTGCTCCGAACTAGAACCGTCCTTATCTAAATCATCGTCAGGCGTGCCGTGCGCATGTGACCGGTGATACTTGAGCCCGTTTGCGTGTTTATATTTTTTAGAACAATTGGGTTCCGGACATTCTAGGAGAACAGGATCTGGAGGTGGAGAGGTCGGGGTTGGCGGGGGACGCTTTGCCTTTGGAGTTGGCGGTCGCTCTTCAGCTTCGGAGGTACGTTTTCGTTTAGAGTCTGGTCTTGGGGGTGTGAATGGGGTGGGAGATGGAAGTGCGCGACGTCCTTTGGCGCCGCCGTTACGCAGTTTGCTGTGCACTGACGAGCGCGTCTCTGTGAAATTTGTCATGTCCGTAGGCGCTGCGCCCCGTCCTCGTTTCGCGCGACCTTTTGGCGTCCGTGCGTCTAATTCTTCTGTAGGTGAATCGCAAAACCTGAAACATAGATTTCTCATGACGCACTTATATTAAATAACGTCGGCTAAATTCTTAAATCTCGTACCTCCATTAATATGAACTGAACTTTTGAATAGGCACACAAAACAGAATTACTAGAAAAAATTATATGACAATTTAAGAATATACATTTATTTAACTAAAACGGGTCTACAATTATTAATACCAATATCGAACACTAATAAGAAAAGGACTTTTTCATAGTGTACGATCTTAATATTAATAATTAGAAGAAACTAGTGGGGTAACTACTCAAAAAAGTTATAACATCATGATAATAAAATGATATTCAATAAGTATTATAAGGGTCTAGAAATTATATTTTAAGCTTTAAAGCTTAAAATAACTTTCTAGTCTATCTAATGCCCGATATAGGTACCGCTCGAATCATAAAAAAGTAATTTCGTCCAAAAACGGAGTTCTACGTAGTCTTCAAATTTAGCCGACGAAAGTACATATTTATACTGTGTCAATTTCAAAATTCCACAACATGACAAGGATCCAAACCCTTAAATATATTCGCGAAAATTTCAAATAACATAATTTAAATCGCAACTGAATCCCAACTCAAACAGTTACCAAAATAGAACACACATTATGTTGTATATAACACACCTGTAACAGGTTAATCAAAGCTAAATTCAGTGCAAACATAATCCAACTGGGCACGGAATACTAATGACAGTAATCCCTGTAGTAAGAACATTAAGCCCGGACATAGAATTGCGGGTAGATGTTTGTTTGTTTCCCAACTTAATGCGTCTAATGCCTACCCGTATTAGGACATCGTGATGAAGTAAGACCCTTTAAGACTGTAGTCAGTAGTGGGGTAAGCCTAGTAATGAGATCGTCAACAAATTAACATATTTCGTTCAACTATTTTGTATCAATTCAATGGTTACAAATATTGGAACAAAAATAAATATCATCATCATCCCCATTTAGCCGGATTTACATTTGTCTGACGTATTGTGTCGTGACGCGTCAGAACGGTATCGGATTCATACATACAATCTGGTTATATTCATACATCGAGTATATAACCAGAAATAGAGACGAAATGTCATTTAATTTGTTTGAAAACTATTCTGTGAAATCATTACCAGCTTTACTAGCTTTGCTATAATGGACGAAAATTGCAAAATTACATATTTAATTATTGATAAAATGTGATTCCGTTTGTGTAATAAATGTAGGCCATACAAATATTTCACCCGGCTCGAGAATCGAACCTGGGACCTCTGCTTGGCAGCCAAAATTATATATATAACATTTTGACTGATGAATTTATTAGTGTGTCGCAATATGACATAACGGCTTATGTTGTGCGTATGAAACCGATAGATACCGTTCTGACGCATCACGACACGACACGTCAGACTAATGTAAATCCGGCTTTAAAGGGACGGGTCTCCTCTTGGCGAGGTTTTAGGCCATAGTCCACCACACTAGCCCAATGATGGTTGAGGACTTCACACATTTTCCGAGGGTTGTGAACCTTCTTCTACGTGTTGATTTCGTCACGATGATTTTCCTTCACCGAAAAGATTATGGTAAACTTCGAATTAAATTTCGTACATAAATTCGAGAAACTCAAGAGGTTCGAGCCCGGATTCGAACCCATGGCTTCTGCTTGAGAGGCGGTAGATGAAACCATTAGGCTTCCACGGCTCTAGATCGACAACACGGATCGAGATCGTCACCAAAGGAACATATTTCGGCCGGAGAATGGGAGGAAAGCGTTGTTTTTGTTACTTTGTTCTAAAGCTTACTTGTAAAATGAATACTTTTGCTGCTTTTAAAACGTCACTTCACGCGTTGTCTTGAAGTGAATAATGTATTCTTTTTTTTCTGTTTTGTGGTACAGGTGATTAGCGTGCGTTTAAGTTATACATACTGTATAACTTTAACTGCCTCCGTGGCCGAACGGTTACCATACCGGACTGCCACGCAGAGGTCTCAGGTTCGATTCCCGGGCCGGGAGAAATATTTGTATGGCCTACAATTATTTCTCTCGTGAGTTTGGGTGTAATTTGTGGTTGTCTTTGTGTGTGTCCATGGCACCCGCGACACAGGGTTTCCCTAGTGCGGGGCTATGTTGAGTGTGTGCGTTATTATTATTATTATTATTATTATTATTATTATTACTGTTTAAGATTCTGTCTGGCTTGAATGTTGAGAACAGTTATATTGGGCATAGATATTGCCCATATATATATAATATGCCCATATATAATATGGCCCACTGTATCAATGTTTGAGTGTTTTTTTCTCTACTGTTTGTATCTGATGTCTGTTATTGTGCCATAAATAAAAAATAAAAATAAATCATTTTCTTAAAACATTCGAACGTCAACGGGTGATAAACCTTGAACAATAAATGATACTAACCGTGGCGGCGCCCAATCATGTCTCGTGCAGTCGAGAAGAGTGCCTACGTAGGTCTTCCCCCGCCACGTCACGTTCACCACGAGCACGCCTGCAGACAAACCAAATTATATTTACGGCCTCTTCGTACATCATGTTAAAATTAATATGGAATTTTGTAGATAAATCCTCTATTGGACAGTCTAGAAGCCTGTACACACGTTACGTGATTCAAACGCGAGCCATGACTATGGGAACAGGGGTCTATTCCCGTTCTCCGGTAAGTAATACTCGACCATATTAAAAGATGCATGATGCGAATGAAGCTTCACACTTGACATTGTCTTTTGATTTGGTCGGCAATATCACACACGTTTACAAATTCAGTGCGAACACAGATGTTGTTGTCGTTGAAACGCGATATAAGCGACCTTCAAATGAGATTCTAACACGCGTTTGACAGCTTTATACGCGCATTAAGATCGATACAAACGCAATAATTTGCTTTTTCTGCCTCTATGGCGCCGTAACCGAGCGCTCGTGAAACGCGCGTTATCTGCGCGTAAAAAATACGCCATGTGCACAGGCACTTAGGGAAGCCTTTCTAAAGTTCAGAATACAATAGGTAATGAAGTTATAACAAAGGAATGTTATTATTAATCACTATATTATAATGTTGTAGTAACATTCATTGTTATAACAATCTATCGAACAAACTTAAAGTGACAAATCATGCTCATATTTCATAAAAAAATCTAATATACGTATACATTTCACAGACTTAGAATGTACGCTTGCATATCCTAAGTTTATGAAAAAGTCAATAAACTACACTAACTACGACAAGTAAAAAGTAACATCTTCAAAATGACGTCTTTTCAATTACTTAACGCGAAATTCTGCAAGAGTAGCTACGGTTTGAATTATATTTTCTTAAATAGAAATACGAATGCTAAAAATGTATTTTAAATATTGATGGGATTGGTTATGTTCTTAAAACGAGTCAGGTTAAGAGTACCTACTTAAAATAAACCAGCATGTAAGAAGAGTCTAATGCAAATGGATAAAGCGAGAAAATATTAGTCAGGAGAGCAGCATATTGAGGTTCAACGTCTTTACCTACCTCTGTTGGAGACGGGAGATAAACGTGGCACGTATGTACGAGTATATTGATATATCTGAAAGTGCCTCATTTATTGCTATACAAGTGCACAACATAGTCGTCAACATCGAATTCAATATAACAAACAAGGTTCATAGAACTGATACATAGTCGAGTTATTGGGACGGTCCGGATCCAATTTGGCCGTGTATTGATCTGCGTATTCCCATGCAAAGCATTACCATTTGCATGCGAACAAATGCGAATTCTCATTAGCCTGTTGCAACAAAAAATTTCAATTATATCAAATCCTAGTTGGTTATATCGCCCTTTAACAAAACGTTATTTATATCTTTACATTCTGTGTTGTGATATTGATAACAAAGTTATGTCCATTAGTGTTGAGACGACATTTTGACATTAGAATAATATAATAAGGCAAGATTGAACGTAATTCAACAACTAGATTATTCATAAGGTACTCCACTAACTCCCGATAATCCAAATTTCGGTAATCCAAATGTCCACTTAGCGGATTAAACTAAGATTACGTTTTTGTTGGTTTCGGAAAACCAACAAAACTGTAACGTATCTTTAAGATAATTTACACCGCACCACAACTGTATGAAGCGAGCCGCTTTCTTATCACCCATTTTGTTTCGAAATTTGGTTATAATATATTTAGACATACCTATAAAATAAATTGTGTGATGACATCACTAATATTAACGTTTTCTAACTAATAGTAACGTTTTCATATTTTTGTGAAAATACTCCGTTAGTTTATTATTAGCATTGATACAAAGACCAACAAAGAAAAATAGCGAAGTTCAGTTGGTTAAGAGGGTAGCCCCGGCATGGCAACAGACAGTGGTTCGAGCTCAGTCAAATCGAAGGTTTTTATTGTACTCACATGTTATTACGTAATTTATGTTTATTTTAAGAAATATTTGACTTAATCCAAAAAATTTGTCCAACAATCGAAATCGAAAAAATCCAAAAATTTCGGATTACCAGGACTCTACTGTACAAACTGTATTTTCACTCGTCGAGTATTTTGCATTACCAAACTGTTACTACTCGATTATAAAAGTAAGAAACATGCACACGTAGGAAAAAGTCACTCGGAGGTTTCTCAAAGTGACTTTCATGCAAATAGTTGCTCACGGCACTCGGGGTCGCCCGTGTACGTGACTCGGGTGCATATTTAGAGGCACCCTTATCTGGTGCCGTGCTAACTTATGCAAATTTAATTAATCAATCCCACCCCACATATTCATGACGCTTTTTGCGTATGGAGCTTAGTGCGTTGTCGGCGCGACTTTTTAACGAGATTATCTTTACGAATGAGAAGTTATTCTGTAGAAACATGGCGCCACGCCAGGCTTATCATTGACATTCCCCATTTATTTCAGCCGCCCCTTCTGTTCAGGAATTCGTTCAGACGAAATAGATAGGACAAATCTTCCCTATAATTCGGTTACTACAGAAAGTGGCCTGACAGGTTACGTATCAGCTAGTTCAATTATTAAATTCATTCCACAAAAGGAAATAAATAAGAGTAGATTTAAAAAGAATATATATGCAACTCATAATTAATCGTTCTCAACTCATATACGCCCCACTGCAAGACACGTGTCTCCTCTAAAAGTTAATATATACCGACACTATATTACATACAGAAAGATAATATATTATATAAACCAACTGTGTAACGTGAAACCCAGTATGTAGTCGAATATATTTCTCAAGTCCATAGAAGCAAAGAGAAAAGATTTCGGAACTGTGTGTTAACATCACACGATTTAGTTTTAACTTTGCTCATAGCAATTTTGAATCTTTAGCCTTCGTTAGTCCTGAATTAAACGGCACGGCAATCTTATATTTTTGTTACTAAATGGATCAATGCTTAGTCCTCAGATCCATTCATTTAGTCATCCATTCATTTTATCAAACCAAGCCTATCCAGCAAATTAAGTCAACATATCAATTATTTCAATACGGTTACAAAATTTCAGCCTGACTGAGAATGGGTTTCAAACACGGTTTAGCCCCGGGGATTATATAAAACCACAATATTTCGTTGTTAAAGTTAACCTATTGTCCTTTGAATATTTTTTTCTTTCCAGATGGGCAAATTGAGATATAAACGAGGGTCCAGACAGGCCCTTTTTTAAATCACAAAACGAACATTTGCATTGTTTCAAATTTTTTCTTCCTACGGAGCTTTGTTCTGTAACACAGTCTTTTTCATATTATAAAAACACTTTGCATAGTTATGTTATGTTTAACATGAAAAATCCTAGACACTTAATATAGTAGCATACGTGCATAGTTCCCGATATTCTAGATTATTTATTACTCTTTCAGTCAAAAAACATGATATCTTAGAGATATCTGAGGTCTTTTTCTTATAACATCAAGTGACGAGACGAGCAAGTCGAGCACCTGATGGTAAGCTACACGCCTGTCCATAACAGTTACAGTGTCACTCATAGCTTTAAATTGCAAAAATCTGAGGGGCATTGCCACTGCGCCCGTCACCCTGAGACATAAGTTGACAAGTCCCATATGCCTGTAACTTCACCAGCACCCTTAGCCATCTAAACCGGAACATAGTAATGCTGATATTACTACCCGGCGGCAGAAATAGGTAAGGTGGCAGTACTTCCCTGGACGAACTCTTTCACAACGAGCTCTACTGCTACTAAAATTAATCATAATGATCTAAACATTGCATAAAGCGTTGCACTGCCACGCTGGGTTCGATTCCCGGGCCGAGAAAAATATTTGCATGGCCTACATTTATTTCTCTCGTGAGTTTGGGTTTAATTTGTGGTTGTCTATGTATGTGTCCTTAGCACCGATACCGATACCGGGAACCGGGTTTCTCTAGTGAACTGTATCGCATAGAACTAAATTTAATTTCGATTAAAAATGGATTAGTCTTAACAATCAACGACAATTAGGCGTTGTCTGCATGGGAGTTTAAAAACCATCTACATCAGACTGCTTTTAGGTTCACTGATTATTACCCCGCGTAATAAATTACATTCAAAGCCGTAACAAAGTAATTTACTGAAAGAAAATTTTTGTTATTAAAAAGCAAACACGACTGAACAAAAACAAGTTTGATTTATTTTATGAACTTGCTTGAGAACATTTTCAGCTTTGATCACATATTATCGCTCGTTTCAAAGAATAAAACAATTGTGGCCAAAAAAGTTTCCACATACCAAAACATTTAGACAGACGAAATTAACAAGATGGTACCTACATCTAACTACTATTATCATACAATCTCTACCTTCGTGAAATAATAAATTCTCATTAAAAACAATAAGAATTGATACATTAGTCGTATCTATTCCCACCTTATTTATCGTTTCACGACACAATAGACACATAAAGCATTTATCTATAAGCCATTAGCATTTAACAACTTGATATTGAATAAGTTAATTAATCATTTTAAACTTTATTTGCACGGGGATATGAGTTTCAATTAATGATATTAGATGCTATTTGCGGCTTTAAAAAAAAACACATTTCCTATAGTTTTATAAGTTATTTTTTTTTAAGCTTTGAGCGAAGATACATGTCGGAGTTTTCAAATTGGCAGTAAACTTTGAAGTAATTAGTTTTCGTTATACTCATGAACATATTAAAAAAAAGGTGTAGTTATAATAACAAGGTTCTTATGAATCACTGGCCACATACACCAGGAACGTTTAATCGAAATCAAAAGACGATTTAAGTCATTCTTTTTTCAAATTAAACGTTAATTCCAATTAAGCGTTCTTCTTAATATGTTCATGTGTGTTTTTTTTTATATCTGAAATTGCGTTTGTTTCGGGCTCTTTACTGGTCCCATGGTTACGGCAGACTGATAGTATTTTTTTGTTTTCAAGAGCAAAAACAGGACGATGACAAGAACCGCAAATTTGTATAATACTAAAATCAGACATGACGTTTTTCATGACAGCCAACGCCGTAATGTGTCAACTTTA